AGCATTATTGCCAGTGCTGATGACTGTCAGACAGTATTCAGTGTCCTGGAGGTCAGATTCCTAATGCTTCAAATCTTTTTCCTATGGGAGCAAGAGAACAGTAGTTTTTACCCCACAAGTAGACACAGATGCAGCAGAGGAGGTCTTCCAGTAGCTGCCTGAATGTGAGATATATCAGAGGAGTTATAAGGAAACAAGAAGTCATCTGCTCTGTGGCTGCAGGCGGGACAGACGAGAGGGGCAGTGATCTGGGAGGAAATATTCCTGGAACTTGCTGTGGTGTTGGAGAGAGTTGCCTGTAACATGGAGAGGAGTTTAAGGCAGCAGGATGAGGGCCTTAGGAGAATGGAGAAACAAGATCTAAGTTGGGGGTGAGGTGCAGGGGGCTTGAGGGCAAAAAGATTTCAGAGGTACAAGAGAAAGTGAAAGCTTGAATCAAAGCAGCTGAAAGATTGGCTTTAATATCTGCTTAGATCAAAAATAAAAGTCTGTATGGATTAAGAGATAATCCACTAGATAGATTTAATCTACCACATGTATTACTTCCCCAAAGAAAAGCATTGGGAGGGGAGGGTTGATTTGGCTCAGTGCCCAGGATTTGAAGGTAGGTGATTATTCTTTTTCCACAGGCCTCCTGTTCACTTGTCCCAAAGGGAGCACATGCTGATGAAACGGGGGGGCTGTTGCTGTAGCCTCCTGCTTCTTCGCAACTCCAAAGTCACATTGAATCTAACTAAAGGCGTTTCTCAAGCAGAAGAGAGCACCGAGAGCAAAATAACACAGCAGTGTCTAATAACTTAGGCATGGGGTAGGCTCAGACACTGACGGTGGCTTTGGCTGTCTGAGCAAAGGGTTCTGAGGGGCAGCAATGGGTATTTTATGAACACTTACCCCTGCTGTCCTGAGTGCAATTGCCCTTCAACCAAACACTGCTCAGTGACGAGCTCCGAATGCCACCTTGCTTCAAGCACTTTGCTCCTGAAATCCTTGGCAACATCCCTCCCTCCCTTTCTCTTTCCTTTCTTTACAAACACTGGTTGACCCGTAGAGTAAGTTCAGTTTCCACAGCAGTAGAAATACTAAAATGACTGGAGGATGATTGAACACAAGGGATTTTTCTCCATGTGTTTTTTCTGTATCAGTACAGTGTATTGTCTCTTTTAACTGTACATGCATAACGGTCATGCACTTCTAGGAGGCTGTAGATATGATGGAATTTGGATTAGTTGGATTGAGGAGGTTTAATATTTATTTTCAAAGTTATCTTGTTCAGCAACAAATAAATTAATTCTGTAGACTGATGTGTATTCCTTCAGTGTTGTGGGCCTGCATCTGTACCACCTCAGGTGAAGGTTTTTGGCAGAACTCCTAAGGTCAGTGGGATTTGGCCTGTCAAATCCTAGAGTAGCAGATCACAGGAGAGAGTACAGGGTGCCTTGGGGAAGAGCCGTCATGGTTTGAAACACCTGAGCTGCCACTGGACAACTTCCCCAGCCTGTGCCGGGAGTGGGCTGTCTGCCTGATGCTACCCTTTTACTGATCATATTTGGTGGGCAGTAGGGATGGATGAAACTCTGGATGTCTTCCCTCTTTCCTTATGGATGCACCATTGCTGTTGCAGCTAGGACACAGTAATTGCCAGTCATGTCTGGGTTTAAGGGCTGTTTCCTTTTTAAGAGAGGTTCCAGCAAATTTTAAATGAGAAAGGTGTGTGCAGCACAGTGGACTGAGAGGTGCTTTGCTCTCTGTTATTCCCATGGTGCTGTCTGTGCTACAGGAGGGATGAGGAGTCTGGCACTGAGAAGCCCTTTGGAATAGCCAATGCACTGCTGTGTTTGGTGGGGCTGTAAAGGGAGTCGTGGCACTGTTCCTCTCCTACACAGGTGTTTTGGAGGATGAGAGTTAAATGTGGGAGGGGTTAAGAGTGAAAGGTAAGTGTAACTGGGATTCCTCAAAAACTCCTTTGCTTCTTCACAGCTAGCAAAACACTGAGTGAGGCAAGGGAGAGGAAGAGGTTGATACCTGGTGAAGCACTGGGGATGATGTGGGGCAGGAAAGGGAGCGAGGGAAGCATTTCACTGCCTCATTTGACCCACTCACATTCATGGAGTGGAAGGAAGGAGAACACTTACTGGTGTCTAGCTCTGAGCTTGCATAACTGCTTGCTTAACACTTCCTTCTGGGAGAGAAACATGTGCCCTGTCAGGTCCTGAAAATTGTGTGTGGGAGTCAGCAGGGTATTGGCTAAAAGGCAATTGATACCTTGCTTTTATGTGGAGCTTCAGGAAAGCTTCGTTGAGTTCTTCTAGGAGAGAGGTCTACTCACAGGTGAGAGAGAAAATTGCATCATTGATTTAAGGGAGAGCAGCAAAGCAGAAATAAATGACTGGGGTTTTTTCAGTTTTGAAGGAAGAAAAAATAGTCAGGTGCCCCCAGGAGCAGTACTGGAAATAGTGTCAATCAATACAATTATGAAACTTCTAGAAAAGAGATGAACTGTGAGATGGGAAAATGTTCTGGGGAGAGCAGTTAGGGAAGACTTAGGTACTTCAGAGGCATCTCACACTTGAACAAAACCAGGCAATGGGACAGCCCTATGACACATGAAACTTGCTGCAGACAGGTGCTAGGAAATGCACACTGAAAGGAACAACAGAAACTACTCTGAGAACCTATCAAGTGTGTAAGTGATGTGAACTTACTCCACTGAGGCAGAGGGAGGATGTGGGAAGAAAATCATGAACAGATTTGTACTCAGTGTTGGTACAAAATACAAGCTGTTAGACTGTGTTTAAAATAAAAGGATGGAGAAATGGAGAATAGTTCTGAGAGGGAGAATCTCATGAGGTTCAATTTTGCTTGTCTCCTACTCCAAACAGAATAAAGTGGAAACAGGCTGTGTGCTATCCTTCCATATGCATAAGGAAGGTTTTTCATGCTTCCAGGAACAGGGGAGCACGGCTATAACAAACAGAAACACTTAAAGCTGTTTAGTGAAAGAAGTGGGCTACTTTCAGAATGATACAAAGTAAAACAGGTTTGTATTGGCTGTTTTTCACTACCTACGTTGTGGGGGGCTTTAGTGAGTCCATTTCTGTACTGTAATAGGGAATGTGCTGTAGTGAGTCCATTTCTGTACTGCAATAGGGAATGTGCTGCACAGGGTGAAAATATTTGAAAAGATGGATTTGATACAGTTTGAAATTGGGAATCATGGATCACTGCTGATGTCAAATTTGTTGCTGAAGGGACTTATACAGACAGAGCAGAAAAAAAGTGTGAGAGCTCTCTCAAAAGCAAAGAGGGACTTTTGGTGAAATTGAAAGACAGTACTTGAGATTGATTTTTACAGGCACAGAATGGTCTGATGGAACTCATTGCTACAAAACACGGGTGAAGTGGAGTGCTCTCTCTCCTAATGGGTTGTATAGCCATAAAAGTACTCTTTGCTGGTTTCATTGGAGGTGAATGTTCAGAACACTTTTCAGCTTCTGAGCTTGAAGCTAGGGAGAACCTGCTGGTCATGCATGGGGAAGGAAGGTCTCTTCTGAGAGGGTGACTCTGTAGTTTCCTGTAGCTGATGTCTGCTCCCACTGTCCCTCCTAAGCTCTAGTTGAACCTGTGTGACAGTTCCCGCAGCATGGCAGCCACTGTGCGTGACATGCAGGCAGTTTTGGCTGTGCCCCTGGCTGCAAGGTGTCTGCTGTAGGCTTTGTGGGAAAGGAATATGTCCACGTGGTGAACACAGAGGTATTTAACCAGTGTCTGCTCTCCCCTGTTGCCACAGAGTGCTTTTCACCTCAGTCCCAAAGCATTTTGATGCTGATCTAGTGTCGTGATTTATCCCCAGCCTGAAACGAAGCACCACACTGCCCCTTGCTCACCCTGCCCCCAGCAGGCTGGGGGGGTGGAGAACTGGAAGGGTAAAAGTGAGAAAATTCATGGGTTGGATAAGAACAGTTTAATCATGGAAATAAAATATGATGATAATAATACTGTAATGAGAAGGAAAATAACATAAAAGGAAGAGAAATAAACCCCAAGAAAGACAAGTGATGCGAATGAAAAACAATTGCTCACCACCAACTGACCGAAGCCCAGACAGGCCCTGAGCAGTGGCCCCCAGCCAACTTTCCCCCTAGTCTATATGCTGAGCATGATTCCATATGGAATGGAATATCCCTTGGGTCAGTCAGGATCAGCTGTCTTGGCTGTGTCCCCTCCCAACTCCTTGTGCACCCCCAGCCCACTCGCTGGTGGGGTGGGGTGAGAGGCAGAAAAGGCCTTTGCTCTATGCAAGCCCTGCTCAGCAATAACCAAAACATCCCTGAGTTATCAACAGTGTTTCCAGTACAAATCCAAAACGCAGGCCTATACCAGCTACTATGAAGGAAATTAACTCTACCCCAACCAAAACCAGCACATCTAGTCATGCAAAAATGATGCACATTATCGGGCTTCATTTCTCCAAATGAGGACCTAATCTTGTTTAACTGATGTGGAAACCAAATCACAAAACTGCTAAGCAACATAGGCAAAGTTGTGTGACGATCTGCTGGTACAGGAGAGGACAGTATAAGCCATGTGAGTCCTGAACTCTGCTCATTAACATGTGTTGCCTTTCACTTGTGACAAGTCATTTTTATTAAAAATATGTTGGCAGTTGATAAATGGCTGTGGTTTTCTTGTCAGCAGTACCTGCAGAGAGGCTTGTGGCCCTCTGGCAAAAAAGCTGCAGTTTTCCATCTTTCTGTGCCTTAAACAGCCTCAGGAACATTGTGCTGTGAGTCACAGACTAGTCCTACTTCGTGTCATGTCGGAGTACATAAAGCTCTCAGTGGGATGGAGATGAGTGTGTCTCAACCAGCACTTTGTTTTGCCCTTTGAAACAACCCAGTCTACTGAGACTTGCATCCTTCTCTGAGGGTCTGGGCACTGGCTGTTGCCTAAAAATCGCTGATTCTGGATTCTTCATCCTAGGAAATGTGCTTGCTTCCTAGGATCTCCCAGCGGGTGGAGGCCAGCCGGGCACAGCTTCAGGCAATTGGTGAGAGAGTCACACTCGCCCAAGCGAAGATTGAGAAGATAAAGGGCAGCAAAAAGGCTATTAAGGTAATGACTTCAGTGAAGGCTGCACTGTTTCCTTTCTTCCCTCCACCTTCTCTCTGTACCCCTGATGTAAGCTCTGGTGAGGAAAGGGTGCTCAGCCACCACAGCTGCTGCCCACTCACCACTCCATGCCTTGCTGCTGAGCAGGGTTGTGATGAGAATCCCATTCCTGACTTGGCCAACTGATGATTTTTAGACCCATGAGCCACACAGCCCCAGGCTTTATGGGGCCTTTATAGGTTTCTGTCTCAGCTGCTTCCTGAGAAAGATGAAAGGCATGTGCTGAGTAAGCCCAACACCCTCGCACTTCAGACTCATAGGCAGTTTGGCTATTTGAATGAAAGCTGCTGTTAGAGAGCCTCCCCTTAGTGCATCTTAATCCCATTAAGCCATGTAAAACTGGTGAAAATCCTCCTTTCACCATTCTTGCTCCATTTTATACAGTATTTCCAACTCCTTTCCTGCCAGTGGAAGCATTTTTGCCAATGATCTCCTTGTACTTTTATAGAGAGGTTCTGGCACTTCCAGTTTCAGAAGTGGCAGTCCATGCACATAACTGTTAGGAGCTTGCTGTCTCCAAGACTGTCCATTCCCATTGGCAGCACAGATGGGGTGTTCACTCCATTCCAGGTGTTTTTGTGTTGTAGAATTTCCCAGCTGTTGGGTTGTTTCAGTCCCTCCTTGTTTCTCCACAGGTATTTTCCAGTGCCAAGTACCCAGCCCCTGAACGGCTGCAGGAGTACAGTTCAATTTTTGCTGGTGCAGAAGACCCAGCTAAACAGAAAGGGCCAAGGCACAAGATTCAGAGCAAACATCGAATGCTGGATGAGAAAGCTCTGCAGGTAAGGGGGAGGGGAACAGACCTTGGCACGAACAAGCAAAAAGAAGCTGGGAGGCTGTTAGTCTCTTTGACAAAGTGAATCAAGGCTTTGGGGTAGGGGCTGGGAGCAGAACATATTTTCATTTGGTCTGTCAGTGAAAGGATGTGAGATTAGACTGGGAAGCTTGTGGAGATGCCAGTTTGAGAGGGCTGTGTCAGTCCAAGACCTTGTCTGGGTGGTTGAGTGCTCTGGGTGTCTGTCAGCTGCCAACTCTCTGGAGGAGTTCCATTTCCTGAAATGCTCTTTTCTGCAGCAATTGTTGGTGGGTGCTGCTGCCTGGGCTTAATCCTTCGACTGTGTATGTCTGGGATCAGGGTCGTAGCTGTTTGGAAAATAGTTTCTGAAGGCTGTGATGTAAGCGATGGTGAGAGGGGAAAGGTAAGAAAGATTGTGAGTGTGTCAGGAGAAAAAGAAGTCCCTCATTAGAGCATTGGAAATTGTTGCACTTGGGTATTGTCCCTTCCTGGTTCCCAGCAAAGTTGTACATCTTGGGGAGGAGGGAAGATCATTTTGATGCTTCTTTAGTTTGTGCTTTGCTTTTCCTTTGCCTACATACAATAGATGTAGCTCATCTATTGTAGGTTTCAAGCCCTTCAGAGGGGCTGAATCTCTCAGCCCAGTTGGGGCTTCCAGGTGTGCCCATAGCACAGATGCCTGCAGCTGGTGGCATTGAAGGAGGTTCTGAACTTTTGAGTTCCCTTTTAACCTGTGGATTGAGTGGCAGAGAGGGGAGGTTTTAGGGAGGTCTGAAGCAATGGGTTTGGCAGGAAGTGCTACCAAAGGATTCTTCAACAATTTGGGTCAACAACCCTGGGTTGGAAGGACAGGAGGAAAAGTTGATGTGCTTAAAGTTGATGTGTATGTGCTCTGTCAGGAGTAGCAAATGTGCTGTTCCAGGCAGGTTAAGGGATCAACTTGACAACTTCCCTGCTTTCCACCCCTACAGAGACTTCCTTCCTAATCCATGTGTGACTTGGCCCAAAAATAAAGCTGCCACTGAATAATTTATCATGCTAAACTTTCCTGAGTGTTAATGGCATTGAGGCCTCACACAGTGAGGTAGTTATGAATATTTCAGCCAGGCCAAGGAAGCAGGGCTGCTGGCTGACTGGACAGCTGGCAACCTCGAGCAGGGTCCCTGCTTCCTTCGGGTCCTGGCAGTAGGGCAGGGCAGAGCTGCATGGGACCTGCTGCCAGCCTTTGGGAGGCCAATTAGTGGTGCTGTCTGGCTGGTGGCCCTGTCCCATCAGAGCTTGGGGGGGCAGAGGTAGGCAGTGAGCAGTGAGTGGACAGGGAGATGTGTCCCCGCCCTGAAGGGCTGGTGCCAATGTATAGCCCCTCAGACAGGAGGGGAATTGAGAAGAGCTTCAGCTGGTAGAAAGCAGTGTCCTGCAGAGAGCCAATGGTGTGCCCGTTCAACTGGCCTGCTGGCTCCAGCAGGCTGTGCAAGCCTTTCCCCACAGCCATCTGCCTGCAATGCCACCTCTTCCCAGTCCCAGGCAGTCTCCATACCTTTGCTATGTTCTGCCCTTTGTGACTAAGGCTGCCATCCCCACAGGGACTTTGTTTCAGGCCCTGGGAGATGTTTGTGTTTGTTGTTCCCCTCCTGTGACCCATCTTTTGATCGTCCTATGTGGCTGTTGATCTTTCTCTGGCTTTGCTGACCCTGTGTCATGCAGGAGCCTGGTCACTCTTGTCAGGCTCACACACATGAGCTCCTTCATGTCTTCTGTGGGATGGGGGGATGCTGCTTCCAGCTGGTGAATGATGGAGGGCCCTGCACCAGGAGCAGTTGGTGTGTTGAGTGGTGCTTGGTGCGGCCGAGCTCTGACTGTGCTCCAGTGGGACAGACCCTTCTCAGCCATAGCTGAGCACGGAGCCTGATGTGCCTTGCAATAATGAAATGTGGCAGGGAGAAGTCTAATGTTTGCATTTATGCCCTCCTCAATTATTTAGAGCTTTCAGCAGAGGCTCACTGCTTGTTTTCACTTCTAATGAGGGCCTCTTTGCTGGGAGCAGTCACAGTGGCCTTCTCTAACTCCACTCACACATGCCCCACCAGGAAAGCAAACTCTGCTCCTGTCGGTTTGAGAGTAAGCGGTGGCAGCCTGTGCTCAGCATTTAGGGTTTGTGCTCAGGAGGGAAAGCAGCTGAGCTGGAAATCTGTGTGGTTCTGCAGTTTATTTGAAAATGGTTCCCCCTTTAGAATTTCTTCTTTCCCCCCTCCACCCCAAGCAAGTGAAAACTCAGTCATTGAGTGGACACTGTTTAGGTTGGTAAGGTAAGGACTAATGGATTAGAGTGCCAGAAACACAGTCCTTGTGGTAAGCCTGGAAAGCCACTTGCTTTAGACATTGCTGTGGTAGCAGCTGGGCAGGGCTCAGCAGGGAGCTGGCTGCAGCCCTGTGGAGCTTCCCAGGCTCTGTGCCCTGCCTTTGCAGTGGGAGCTGTGTATGGGTGCTGCACGTGCCCCTTGGGAGGCTGAAAAATGGGGTGGGAGACATGGTCTGCCTGGACTTCAGAAGAGGTGCAAGCAAAAGTTACAGTCTGCTGCTGGAGTAACCTTGGTAGGCTTCAGAAATGTCAGTAACTTGGCATGTCCTTGGGAATTCTGCCTCTCTCAGAGCCCACCATAGGCATGGGGAGGCTAAACCAGGTTTTTGCCACTTGCTTATCTTGAAGTGCTTTTCCAGATAGCCTAAGCACTCCCTTGGTATGGGAGAGTGGGATTTGTGGTGTATCACACCAATTCCCTTTGTAATACCGTGTGCTTAATTAAACTTCAGAACCAGGGTGACTTTATGTATTTTTAACTGTAGGTTCTTATGAAGAAAAATGCCTGAAAATGCAGTGTCCTTGGGGGTGTGATCCTGCCAGTTACCAAACTCCAGGCTGGGGTGTTTGAGCATTCAAGCATCCCTCAAGACTTCAGTATGTCAAGGCTGCTGAACTTTGGCTTTAGGCTTTAATCTTCCTATAAGAAAACTACTTTTTAAATGGCGTGTTAACTTCTGGAATTTACAGATGTGGGATATTATTGACAGTGTGTAGCTGTTCCAAATTTCAAAACAGATCTAGGTACTCGAATAAGACTAGCACTTTGATGGCATTTAAATTAAAAGTTTCAGAGTAATACTCATGCTTAGTGCTTTTATAACTGCCTTAGATGAAGTTTATAAGTAAATGTGGGTAATGGTTGGTTTCTCACTATACCCTTAAAGTGACGCACAGTCTTCCAGTGCTAACTGAAATCTACAAAGAGAGAATTAAAAAAATATATATATGACTTTAGGGCTAAGTGTGTCTGAACAGTTCTGGCAAAAAAGTCAGTACTCCCTCATGCTTAAAAAATTAAACATTGGGAAATGAATATTAATGATCAAAAGAACTTTTATTTTTGAGTGTCTGCTTCTACAGTCTCTAAATAAGAATTTGTATATTTTTGCCTACTTCTGAAAAAAAAAATACAAGATGTTCATTTCAGTGTATTTTTCACAAGTTGGAACGTGAATTAAATCAAAATCTCCCAGGTCTTATAGCATTTTATAGACTCAGAGCATCATAGAAACTCCTAGTGGATTAACTGAGCTATGACTAAGCCATTTCTTAGGATTTCTGGCTACCAGATCCAAGACTGAAATTTCGAACAGGACACACTGCTTGTGTCACTGAGATGTGGTCTTAAAACTGAACCAATGGTGGTCTCCATTTCCCCCATACAAATACAAGGAGAGATGATACAGAGAATGGGATGCTGCAGAGATGCTGGAAGTAGTGAGGCTGTAGGAAGCTATGGGCAGTATTCAAAGTGGTCATCTTCTGGTGAAGGAAACCACAAATGTGGCCAGTTATTTAACCTGACAAACTGCTCTGGTTTCTCCTGATATGAACACTTACCGCCTTGCGGCTGCCAGGCTGCTGCTTGCCCTAGATTGTGAAGAAAGCAGAAGTTGTAAAGGGGCTCAGGGGTGTGAAGGGGTCTGAAGTGGTGGGTTTTCCCCTCCCAAACTGTCTCTGGGTTCAGGAACTGATGCCTTTCCTCCCACTAGAGCGAAGAGTGCTGTGGGCGCTGAGCTTCATACCCCGGAGCATGTGGCAGTGGGCACTGTCACGCCAGCTGAAACACTGTGGGATGGCAATTCCTGTGCTCTATAAAAGTCAGGCAGTTCAGATGTAATAAGTCCTTTTCTAAAGGGAGTTCTATATATATTATGCATGAAGTTTTAGAACCGAGAGAGAGGAGATTTCAGTTCATTAGAGTTGAAAACTCCCGCAAATCCCTCAGGCTTTGCAAAACCATCTGGCACACGTTCCACCCTGCACACTCTTTTCTGCCTGATCTCTTGCCTAGTGCAGGCACTCTGTTTTTTCCTAACCTCTTTTTCCTTTACCTTCCCTGCATACCCCAACAGTGGGATCACAGCTCTTAAAACATCAACTGAAGGCAGCAGAGGGGAGGTAATAGAGATGTTTGTGGGACTCTGCCTGCATGAACATGTGTAGCAGTTGGAGACACTGTAACAAACACCTTTTAGACTGTTGTGCTTGATCCCTGCCTCTGACTATAGAGCCTGAGTGGTGGCTTTATCTTGGTGGGTCCTTGCCACAGCAACATGTTCAATATGACCCATCCATGGCACCAAAAGCACGTGCCACGAGTCTCAACTGCCAAGATTTGTGATGAATGTGGGGTTGCAATGTTGTCCATGTGTTTCCTTCCTCAAAGGGAGGTAGAGAGTAGTAGGGTTCCCAGACCGTACTGTGCAGTACGGTTCCCAGTAAGCAGTAGGGTTCCCAGACCGTACTGTGCAGCCAGCAGTGTGGGTTGTGGTGGCTGGGGAGAGCTACCCCACCAGCTATGGTTTTAGTGTCTTACTACCTGTTATCTGTTTTCTTGCAGGAAAAGCTCAAGTATTTCCCCGTGTGCGTGAGCACCAAAATTCACCAGGAGGATGATGCAGAAGAAGGCCTTGGCAGCCTTCCCAGGAACATCAGCTCCCTCAGCTCCCTGCTACTCTTCAATACCACCGAGAACCTGTGAGAGCTGGAGCAGTGCTGTGCTGCTCACCTGCCCCTGCTTGTCCTCAGAGGAGCTTTCCCTTCCCCAGGGGTAGCAGTAACTGCTTGCTTTCCTGGGGGTGTTACGTATCAGGATCCTGATAGGACAAGGTTTGCTACATCTGCACTGGCTTCCAGCTAGGAACCCTTTCTTCCCCATTCTTTCCCTTGGGTGGAGGGAGTTGTTTTATCTGCACCTGATCTTCTACTCATCTGCATTCAACCCAGTTTTGCACTTTGTGTCCCCGACTTAGTTTTTTCTATTGTTCCCCTGTAATTTCTCTCCAGCCTTGAGATGTGCTGTCACTCTGCTCTGTGCCAGCCTAGGTACTGCTTCTTCTCCTGATGATTCCTTGCAGCATCACTTGACTGCCCTCACTGTTTCAATGTCTCCACCTCCTCCCTCACTGCAGTTCCCTTTTCCATTATTGGGCTTTGCCTTATGGTTCCTCCTTCTGCCCATATTGAAGAACTTCTTTAAGCCCTTTTAGAGATTTCAGCTGCTGGATCTTCTTTCTTCTCCTGAGCCATGGATCATTTTCCCTTTTTGTCTTTCCTCCTGGACCTTGAGTGACAAGTCACTGGTGTCCTGCCGCAGGCTGTGGGATGGTTCAGGCTGGGTGTGGAAAAGGGAGAGCTTGGCAATGGTGGCACTGCAGTGGGGTTTGCTTTAGGGTGATTGTGGAGGCTGCACTGGCAGGGTGGGGAGCTGATCGCTTCCTGGTTGTGAAGGGGAAGGGCTGGAAAATGTGGCTAAAAGAAGGAAACTGGAAGGCCCAACCTTTTTGAATGAAGTCAGGAGGTCTCCACCTCCACGGCCTTCTTGCGTACACTTTCTTCTGGCCTTGGCTCTTGAGGTAGTATCACTAAAATACATGTCCTCTACTCTTAGGTACAAGAAGTATGTTTTCCTGGATCCTCTGGCTGGAGCAGTGACCAAGACCCATGTGGCTCTGGAAACAGAGACAGAAGAGAAGCTCTTTGATGCTCCTCTCTCCATCACCAAAAGGGGACAGCTGGACCGACAGGTGAGATGCAGCTGTGTTCCCTGCAGTGCCCCTGTTTGCTGCAAGTGCATAGTCACTGCCTTATCTTGCTGGTCTGGGTTTCTTTTAGGTAGCTGAAAATTACTTCTATGTGCCAGATCTGGGCCAGGTCCCTGAGATTGATGTGCCATCCTACCTGCCAGACCTGCCTGGCATCGCTGCAGATCTCATGTACAGCGCTGACCTGGGCCCTGGCATCGCACCGTCTGCCCCCAGCAGTGCTATTCCAGAGCTGCCCACCTTCAACACTGAGTTGGTGGAGCCTTTGCAACCAGGTATTTCCAATCCCTGATCCCAGGACCCTGTGAAGGAGGAAGGCAGGGATTGCTAGAAGATGGAGATGAAGCAGAAAGTCCCTTGGTAGAGATTTTAAGATGGATGTTGGAGATACCTTTGGCTTGTGCTTAGGACTGAGTGAAACCTGCAGCTGGCTCAGGCGCTGGCCTGACTTTAGGCCCCTTACCTCCCTCACCTTTTGCATGGCTTGGGAGGAGGGACCACAGTGTGCCATTCTCTGGGATCCTTCAGATACAACTTCTTTCATCTTTCAGATCTTCAAGATGCTGAACTATTGCCACCTCCTCCCCCTCCGCCTCCCCCGCCGCCTCCTGTTGTGCCAACCACTGTGCCTCCTCCGCCGCCCCTGCCCCAGCCCACGGCCCCCTTGGAGCCAGCCCGGACAGCAAACGAGGAGAGCAGCAACACAGTGCCTGCAGGTAAGGGCTAGGCATCTCCACAGCTTCAGCCCTGTCTGACTCTGACTCCTTGGCTTCAGCCTGTGTCCTTGGGTGGTTTCCTGTGCCTTCCCAGCCTTCCAGTAGAGTGGGGAGGCTGGCAGGGTATTGGAGTAGCCCTTTCCATTGGAATTTGGCTGGGCCTGTAGCTGATGCACTGACCTATGTGTGCTGCCTGTCCTTCCTGTCCCTGCAGCTTCTGTCCAGGGAGCCCCAAAGGAGGTGGTGAACCCCTCTACTGGGCGTGCCAGTCTCCTGGAGTCCATCCGCCAGGCCGGTGGCATTGGGAAGGCCAACCTCCGCAGTGTCAAGGAGAGGAAGCTGGAGAAAAAGAAACAGAAGGAACAGGAACAAGGTGCTGAGGCCCTTCAGCAGAATTGCTCTTCCTTGCTCTCTGCCCCAGGCTGGGGAGGTGTGGGTCTGGGGGCAGGAGGGCAAGTCAGGAGCACAGTGAACTTAGAGAGCAGAAAGGGGTTCTCTCTCCTCACAGGCCTGTGTAGGTCTCAGGTGTTTCCCATTCTGTGAACTCACTGAACCCTATCTGCCAGGGCATCCATGTTCTTGACAGAGGCACGCTCTGTCTCAGGGCACATGTAGAAGTTTCCCGTGTGCTGCATGGGGAGCAGGCACACAAATGAAACCCCAGGGCCAAGAGGGGCAAGGCTGAATCAGTCTGAGCACCTTGGCTGAGGTAGCTGGGGAGGGGAGTGATGGAGCTGGTTTGGCAGAATGAGACTGCAAATGCACAGCCCCTCAAGGAATTCCACTCTTGGATTTCCCCAGAAGATGCCATTACCCTGCAGGGCCTAGTGTTCTGCTGACCTGAAACTGGGCTATAGTTTTGGAGTGTGATACAAAAATAGAGATTTAGGGTTTTTTTTCTTTAATCTGAAGGTAGTATTGCAGGGGAATGCTTTTGCCATAGTGCTTGGTTCAGGCTAGTGTTTCTTGACTGACTTATTCTCCTGTTTCAGTGAGAGCTACGGGACAAGGTGGAGATTTGATGTCAGACCTCTTCAATAAACTGGTGCTGAGGCGCAAAGGTACTGTCCTGCAGGGTGGGCTGCTCCTTCCCCCTAGGAAAGAGGGAGAGTGTTTCCTGGCACCTCAGTTGTATCAGCCACAGCTCTGGAAACAGGAACAGAGAGACCTTCCCTGGCAAGTGTACCACAGTGTGACTGGGAGTGTCTTTAGAGAGGGTGAGCAGAGGAATCTCTACCTCAAGTCCAGCTGGAGGCACTGGAGGAGGCTGTGTGTCTCAGTCAGAGGATGAACTCTGAAAGCTACCTGGACCCCTCACCCAGGGGGGCACCTGAGTTGCCCAGCCAGGGGCATTTAGGGCCAGACCGTGCCTCAGTGCTGGGCAGAGAACAGCAGGGACTTGCTCAGGTGGAGCTGTACTTAAACGAGCCCTTGGCACAGGACTGTGGCAGCACTGAACATGTTGGCAGCTCTGCTTACCTGGGTGCTGGGAGCATGGCTTTCCCCCTCCCCTTTGCTGAGTCTGTGTGTTCTCTAGTCCCTGGGTGTCACTTACTGGTGATTTTCCTTCCATCACAGGTATTTCAGGGAAAGGGCCAGGAGCCTCTGGGAATGCCAATGCTCCAGGCAGTCCTGCTGGTGCCTTTGCTCGCATGTCGGACTCAATTCCACCCCTCCCACCCCCACAGCAGCCCGTGGGTGAGGAGGATGAGGATGACTGGGAGTCATAGGTGGGGTCAGTTGAGCATTAGTGTCAATCTGCTGCTGTCTGAAAATTTTAATAAAGTTAAAGGAAGCAGGTCCTTCCACCTTCATTTTGGTAAAAGGGGGAAGTGTCATCAATTAAGGGTGTGGAAAGGGAAAGCCCAGCTGTCCACGCATGGCTGGTGGGGACCAGCCTTACAGCACAGCATCACAAGCCACAAGCCAGAGGGCACCAGCTGCTAGAAGCAGGTGCCCCCCCTCCCTCTTTCACTGGGGTGAAGGCAGAGCTTGTGCAGGGTTGGTACCCTCTGAAGGGGCAGGAGACTCACAATGGAAGTTTCTCATAGGCAGCTCTTTCTTTCCCTGTGGGGCTAATTAACATACAGGGAGTGGGTAACAGCTCTTCTGTCATAATTATAAGTACTTTCTTCATTGTGAAGAGCCTTGAGAGGTAGCATCCAGCTGCTGAAACTGGCAGAGAGGAAAAGGAAGCTCCTGGGAAGAAACTTGCTCAGGATGACAGAACAAGCTGGGGCCGGCTGTGGGATGACCTAGCTGTCCCTGTTGTTATTGCTGCCCTCCAGCACTGATCTATAACCTTGGAAAGAACCCCAGGAATGTTAACCTAAAAAAGTTACTTTTAATTGAAAAACTTAAGCAGTAGAAAGAACAAAGCAGCCCTGTGCCTAAGCATGATCAAAGGAGAAGTGCTATATTATGGCCATATCCTTATTCCCCTGGAAAGAACGAACCGCTCCTTGAATCTACTGACAGCTTGAAGCAAGAGGATAAGAAATGTTACCCATAGCTGCCTTGTGGCTTACCACTCCAGCTGTGTGTTATTCCAACAGGACACAAACTAGTGGCCTGCTAGTTTACAATTCCTGTGAAAAGCTCTATGTTGTCATTGACCATCAGGCCTCCTACATGTGGTGGTTGATGGGAAAAAACAGATGTATTCAGTGAAAATAATTATACTCCCCATACTTAATGTTTTGAAAGTATTTAATCAATTTAAATAAAACCTTAACAGCTTAATCAATTTAAATAAAACCTTAACAGCTGTAAACAAATAGAAGCCTGCTGCTACTACCTTCACCTGCCTCAGACCTACAACCAGTTTCCCTCCCGGTTATGGTGCTGAAGGCTGTCTCACCATCATAGTGCTCAGATACTGAACAGCAAACATCCACAAAGGAGGCAGAATGCAGAGATTTACAAAGTCCATGGTATACAAAAGCAGATTGTGTTGCTTCACCCATTTTTCAGAGGTGCAACTCACAGAGGTGAATACCGTCTGTTCTCTGGGCCACATCACAAAACATCCAACTTCCCTCGATGGAACTGGGAACACACAAAACCAGACAATTTGTCCCTTTATTCTAAAGGGAAGACTTGAGACAAGTCAAGATGGGCACAATGGGAAACAGTCTGGGGAGCAGTACATGAGATAGAAGTTCTGACCTTTCTTAATTCTGCAAATGCTGATCCAAAGGCAGGTTTCACCTGGGTTCTCTCCCTGATCCACTGTGGCAGTTTGTTAAAGATGGCAGGCCGTGCATATCTGTGGTCCAGGAGCAGGATGCTCGCAAAGTCCTTCTGGTGCCGAATGGCTCTGCCTGTACAGAGCATAAAAACAAAAAATGGCCCAGTCAAGTGTTTGTTCTCAGACAAGGAAGCTCATGTTCCCATCATCTCTAAGTACGATTACCCAGACGACTGGGTAATGCTTCCTTTCTCCCACCCTGCTCCTTCAGTGCTGTCACATTTTGTACCCCCCAGCCTGTCCAAGGAAGGATGAATTACCTATTGACTGGTTTACTGCCTTCATGCACAGGTTTTCAATCAGCACTCTGCTAGGTGCCTGGCCAGCAGCTCTGGGCTGGAAAGGAGAAATAGGCAAGTCTGAACATGAGGCAGATGTAAATCAGACTAGGGAGTCTGAATGACAACGTGAGGCAAACGCTTTTACCCCTGCAGAGTGAGCGGGTGGCAAGGCAGACCCCAAGCGGAGAGCAAGGAGGGACAGAAGAAAGGCTGCAGTCAGAAAACTATGTTGAGCATTCACAAAAAGCCAGCCCATGGTCCCCTTGAAGGCAGAAATCCTGCCCCCAGCTGCTCGGGAACAGCACATCCAGTGAGCAGTAAGAAAGGACAAATGACCCAAGACAAGTGATCCTGGCAAGCAGCTTCTACCACCCCACCCTGCCACCTCCTCTGGGGTAAAGGGTCCTTGCTCCCTTCGGAACTCAGAGTTCCCAGTGAGCCCTGATGGTATTTCCCTCCACTGAGCTTCTTCCCTGTGTTTGGCACCACCTGTTCATGAGCTGCCTGGAGAAGGCTGTGCTCTCGGTACCACACAGTCTGGGAAACCACGGCAAGTTCAGAGAAAACAAAACAAAGCCTTCAAAGGCATCTCTTGCATGCCTGTGCTGAGAGAAAAGTTAATACTATAAAGCAGAAGTGAAACAGGCAGAGGTGTAATCTGTTACCATTGTTTTGTCAAGCCAAGCCATTTTTTCCTGAAGCTCTGGAGATTTAATGTTGGGGTAAGGCATTCCCACCATAATCACACACCTGCAAGGAAGGGAGTGCATTATTCTTAATGTCTCATCCTATAGCACTTTGCCAATAGACTGATAAATTAGAGGTCACTGCACCCCCAAAAGACAGCCAGCCCTGATAACCAAAGGCAGCAATAAAGCACAGCAGTCTGACAAGCACGTTGTGAACAGAGCTGCAGAGGGATTCGGGGTGCCAGAACAAGAGATTGTCTAGCACAGCAAGCCTAACTGCATCATTCACAGGAAAAGTAGCCTGGACAAGCAGGTTTACACCACCCAGCCGACCCTTCTGTTGCTTTAAGCGTCAGCTGAGGTCATGTGCTCCCCAGGATTTTCTATCTATGCAAGTACTGACGTGACCATCCTGCTTGGAGTCACCACAAGCCAGAGCTCACCCCTCAAGAAGGAGCAGTCACCTTACCTTCCCAGGTCATCAGAGAAGTTGATCCCTTCACTCATTTTGCCTCCAACTACAGAAAGCAGCAGGGCCCCTGTCATCTGTCCTCCTGCCTGGCTGCAGCGCTGCAGGAGAGGGACCATCAACTTAAACCAGAGTTGGGAAAATTTCTGTGCTTCAGAAACACTCCCTCACCTAAGCTAGAGCCCTCTTGTTAAAGCTGCAGTGCCCTCTTTAGCAGCACTCCCACACCAGTTGGGATGCAACACTCCCACCAGCCTGCCAGCTCAGCTTACCTTTATGCACTTGGCATATTCCACCAGCACCTGCTCCACCTGGTTGGCTTTCTTAGGCTCCTGAAAGATCTGTCACAGGCACAAGGCGTCAGTTGCAACAACAGGAAGCAAACAGTTTAAAGAAAGCAAATCATTTCACTCTCACGCCATTAAACAGCATATGGAACTGAGATTAGGGAAAGGCAAATTGCCTGAAAAACCAACTTAACCAGCACCTTTCCCCTCCACCATGGAAATGCACTGCATGTTCACTTTCCAGCTGGGCTACGAAGGGAGCAGCAGCTGCTCCTGCCCTCCCAATGTTCCCCTTCAGCTTTGGCAGACTTCTTTAATTCTGCAAGAAGTTAGAAGTTATCCAAGAGCTGAGAGGTAGGAAAGCAGCGTGCACCTCTTGCACCTATGAATCAAGATCTTCCAGGGTGAGGAGACTTTCCAGCTCCAAGATCTTGGAGGACAGTGACAGGACTGATCAATTTGAATCACTAATTAATTCCAAGTGATAGCTTCACTTGCCCAGTGAATAAATCAGCTTTTTATGCAATGCATAAATAAAGTAATATATCTTTATGTTATTCTTGCATGCCTAATTAGTTACTGAAAGCCCCTGCAGTTAATTAAGCTGTATTTTGATCGATGCTGCACCTTGGCCTAAATCACAAGTTGTTTTCCTAGTAAACAAGAGGTGCAACATCTGTCTTCTCTGTGACAGTGAAGAACCTAAAGGATGAGATTTCTTGGTTGGCAAGAAGTACTATCAGATTTTACCAGTCAAAATCAGTCCTTCAGTAGAAAAATAACTGGCAATTACAAATATAGGCCCAAACTAACTTATTGAAGAGTAGCTATTTAATCCTTTGATTTAAATTAATTTCCCCTACATTATTTATATACAATCTCAGTGTGATGTCATCACAGCCACCTCAGGACTTGAGCCTTCCCCTCCTATGGTCTGGTCTTGTGTGTAGGCAGCTGAAAGTCACACTTGCTGCAGTTGTACCAAATTGCCTTGCTAACGCATATCCAATTTACTGGAGACTGCAAAGGCCAAACGAGAATAAATCAGAGCTGAAAGGCAGAACAAACTGCGTGATTGTGGCACAAAGCCTTGGAGGCACCAGCCAGAGCACTGGGACCCTGACAGGACACACCTGAAAGGCACGAGGAATAGTAGCTGTACAAACACGTGGAGAAGCCGAAGCATAATACTTCCACCACAAAAACCTACAGGCAGATCCATGTGCCAGAATGCTGGCACCAAGGCTGTGAAATATCTGGGACTGTGCTCTCCTAATCCATATGGTAAGTTATTTAGCTTTTGGTAAACAGAAGTCACAGTCAGGGTATTTGTAACTTTTTCACCCCCCTGGCATGTGATCAAAGATCCCTGCACCACACCCTGAACTGCCTGATCTTCAGTACGCCTGATCTTCAAATACTTGTGAAAAGTCATTGCAAAGATTTTTATATTTGCAGTGATCTCCCTCTTTAATGTGTTTCATCACTCCTTTACCAGGAGTCACCACTGCTGGTCTTCCAGTTCTCATCTGTGTTACATCTACCAGGAAGCAAACCACCATTTTTCCTGTGAACTGCAGTGTGGCCCCACTCTGCCTACCCCTTGGTTGTGCTGGTTTGTGCTCAAGGGACACACTGAGCCTGGGAAAAACAAATTCCCTGTAAGAGCTCAATCTGAACAGCCTCCCCATCCACACAGGAACAAGCCTGGTGGTGATGGAAAGCAAAGACTGTCTCCCCCCATGGCCACTACACAGACCGTGCACTTAAAGAACGTATGGCTGCATTCAGTCTAATTTAGATCCCAGCTCAGTGATCAGCCACCCGGGAAGTACCATTTATTTGTAACTGGAGGGATTAGCCAGATAAACATCCTCTCTGCTCTGCTGTGCAGGGTATGAGAACAACTCGGAGAGAGAGGCCTGTAGTGCATATGTAATTGTTTGATTTTTGAAACCTCCATGTAAAGTACCAACTGCCCCGGCTGCACAATCACCTTCTTCTTAGTTGCCAGGCGGGTGAGCAGCCCTGTCTTCTCCCAGTGTGCATACACCTGCTTCTCATATTCATAGGAGGGGAAGAAGCACACCACACCTCCAGGGATCACGTTGCACAGGTTGCAAAGGATCCGACCTGTCTCATCCATCTGCAAGAGAGGTAAGAGCATATTGCAGCTGGCAGGAGCTCCAGCTAATGCTGCTCCAGTTCTGTGCTCAATCCCAGGATCACACTTTCCCTGTGACGTGCCTTAGGGGAGGAAAAAATGTGGGAAATATGCCAAGACTAAGAGAACTCTCTAGGGGAGCTGAGCATCACGACAAAGTTCTTCATTTCTCCACCTTTTTCCCTAACTCCGGGTTTCTGTTAGCGCTGTGGAGCACTGGTCACTCAGGAAAGGAGGGTTTGCCTCAGTGGATGGGAGCTGTCACACCAGAATAGATGCTGAGAGCTAGTTAGCACATCTGGTGGAGATTCAGCAGGGGCAGAGCAGATCTAGTGTCTGGCCTTGAGTGTTTACTGGCCTGCCACGGGAAGAAGTAAAAGTGCCAAAACACCTGCTGCTGCCCCTGTGGTTTGGGCTGCATTTTGCAGGGCTGCCCTGCTCCACTGTCACTGAGCCCTTCAAACTGTGACACACAGTCAGAAACCTCCTCCTGATGCCCAGCACACAACTGCAGGATCTCCGTACAGCCAAACAGAAGTTGCTATATAACTCATCTCCAAAAGCTACCTTTGAGGAAGCAGCTCAAAATCCCTTTTGCTATTCTCTTTCTCAATTACCTGGCAACATACCTGCCCCAATTCTTACAGATTTCCCTTGCTGTGGCTTTTGATCAGCCAACCTTTCAGAGAGCATACTGTCCTATGAAACATAAGCATGCGAAGCAAAAAAGGGATCCAAAGGAAGGGAACAAAGGACAGACTGACCATCTGGGGCAGGTCTCTTGTCTGGTAGGTGAATTCCAGCTGCTGGTTGGAAGGACCATTGCAGAGGATTATGGGTAAGATGTTTTCTGGAGGAATCACATGTCCTGGAGCCAAAAACAAGTAGTGAGAGTCAACATCACTGCTGTTGGCACAAACGCCACAAGCTGAAGAGCTTTACCTGTATGACAGAGGCAAATGTTTTCCTGGCTAAGCCAAAGTGCTTAAGTCACTCAGCTGCTCTACTTCCATTCCCTGAGGCCCTGGGAAGAAGGCATGGCACACTGCCTGCCAGTACTGGCACTGAGGAAGCTCAGAGGGGAAGGGAACTTGCATGCCTTTGCTGCCCTGACAAAACAGCACCAAAGGCAGACTGCAGCACTTGCAGCTGATGACCCCTCCCTGCCAGCCTGGCACACTTACCACAAGAGAACTCCAGGACACGTGCAGGGTCCACACCAGCACAGGACAGCAGCTGCTCTCGGAAATCAGCCACCTACGAACCACAAGCCACATGTGAAGTACCAGTGGCCCAAAAGACACCACACCAGAGGCACCTGTACTGCTCCTCCAGCACCAGTGTCGAGGGAGCGCCGGCCAGATCCCTCCGGGATGAGCACATCGGGAACAGGGAATGCCGAACACGCACAGCCTCCAGCCCAGCCCGTGCTCCCGGCCCGCCGGAGAAGCGGCAGCGCCCCCTGCCCGCGCACATCGGGACTGATTTTCCTGAATCCCTACGGGATGGTCCCTGTGGGATCCCTATCCCTGCAGAACGACAGATGGTATCAAGGTCCTCCAACTGCTACCCGTGCTGGTTCCAAACTACCAAGAGCTCAGCCTGTATCGTCTTGAGGACAAGAAAGGCTGACGAGGGCAATCCTGCCCTTGCACCTACAAGTTTATCCACAAACAGGCAGTGACAGACACCTCATGCAGGGAACCCACACCAGGGAGATACAGCAGGTAGGAGAGGTATTTTCCCACACACACCACAGGGAGCAAGAAGAGCAGCACATTCCAGTGGGGCTTAGCTGCTCTCTTTCCATGCCTGACTGCAGACAGCAATCCTGAGATCCCAGTGCAGCATCCTGATTTCCTCACCGGCTGCATGGTGCCTCCAGCAATGATTACAGCACGGCATTCTTCCACCACCTTGGCAAAGTGGACAGCTGGATTCAGCAGGAGGAATTTGAGACTGCTCTGACCAACTGTGCCTTGGAAAAGGAGAGAAGGAGCATCAGGAGCTAGCTGTGGGATACACACATTCAGGGATATATAAGAGATTCTCCCTCATGCCCTGGGCACTCTGGCAGGTCCTCACTTCACAAAGCAAGGACTTGCTATTCAACGCTGACAGAGGCAGTAACGCCAACCTGGAAGTTACCTTCTGCTTCCTAATGTCTCTGGAGCTGTAGAAGAGGTGCAGTAAATTGCAGGATGAAAACTAACATCCAAAGTGGGAGCAGAGATCTGCAAACCCTGGCCCCAATGCCCTTAGTTAAGAATTCCTTTGGGGTCATGAACATCCTCAGACAGACCCAGCCTGCCAGCCTGCATTACATATGGCACAGAAATGTTGTTGCAGGCTCCAGATCTCCTCCCTCACTGCCAGTGAAGCTCCCTGCTTGTGACTGACCCATGCCACCTCTCCCCAGCTCGCCTTTTCCAGTACCTTGCCTGTTGAGAATGACTCTGCCATCTTGGTTTGCATTTGTGAGGGCTGACAGAAATCCTTCAATCTGCATCAGTGGAGAGGCAGCTCGGAGCTGGTCGTTCTCAGCCTCCACAGGAGGGCTCTGGGGGGTGCCTTCTGGCCCAAAAAGAAAAGGAGAGGCAGGCAATACTTCTAAAGACAGGGATTAAACATGAAGTATGTTCTACAGGAACATGATACCTGGTCTACGTGTGCAGGCAGAGATCAAAGACCCAGAAAAAGGGAAAACCCAAATTCTGTCTCATTGCTAAGAAAGAAAAAAAAAAAAAGATCTGCTTTTTGTGGTCGGCACCACTAAGCAGAGCTACACACAGTAGCTCTGGACCTGGAGCTAGCAGGTCTCAGCAGTGCAAAGCTTGAGTGTGTGTGGTGTGAATATGGACTCACACCATCATTCAGCTTGGAAGGGACCTCAGGAGACCTTCTAATCAAATGTATAGTTGCCTAGGTCAACTTGTTAAAAAACACCTATGCAGGACACCTCCTGCAGTCTCTCATTCTTCAAATCTGCCTCCCACCTTTCCTCATGCAGATTGATGCAGGTTCCACATCCTCACTGTACCTGAAGGGGAGGATGTCTGAACTCACCCTTCTTATCAGATCCCTGCTGAAGGGTCAGGAGAAAGTTCTGCAAACCAGCCATCTTCTGGTTCTCCTTGTTGTTTTTCACAGCTGCGGCAGGGCCTCCATATCGCTCCACAAACCCAAAAAGCTGCCAAACAAAAGGCACATACACTAAGATACCAACAGTAGGCATCAGCCAAGATAAAAGCAGGTTTGCTGGTCTGCCACAGATAAAGTTCCTTAGTAGGTGTTCACAAACCAGCCTGATCAGAATCTATCAGCACAGCCCACAGCTTCCATTACCTTCCTACAGCTACTGAATCAAAACCAAAACAAGTCTGATGCTTGTTCCTCCAGCACAAGTCTACCCAGCTAGCAGGTTTGAGGCCAAGCAGCACAGAAATAGCACCCACTGGAATACCATGGTACACAACATTGTATGTTTCTTTGCTGGAAAAGCAAAAGTTAATCTGCACATATAGTGCTTTTTGCAGGAATCATTTTGTTTGCAGAGCAGGGTGGAGAAGACAGGCTCCCATCCCAGCTGCTGCATCTTCCACTTCACATTCCACATGTGAAACAACATTGGAACACTGCTGACCATAAAACCTCGGGGGCAAGTACCTTCCTGCTGATGAGGCTCTTCTCACAGTAACGCTGAACCTGTTGGAGGAAGACAGAAAAATGAACTGGCAGTCAGTATCTCTTTTCCTATCCTGCTGTCCTTGATTCCTGACCAGCAGGGATATCACTTACTGTGCTTTTGGGGAGAGTTGCACAGCTCTTTGTGAGCTCTGCCTCCCAGACAACAGTTTATTACAAAGACATTGCATCCAGAGTGGAAACACACAGTGCTAAGGGGCTGTGTCTGGAGGTCCAAGGGATGGGTGACAATACTCGAGTAGTATGGTTTCTGCATCCTCAGCCCTTACAGTTTAGCTCTGCCTACAGGCAGCTTCTGCACTTGTACATGCTTAATCACTTGCTTCCCTCTACTCCAAGAGCACCTATCCAGCCTCAGTGCACTTCTACCCAGACTGCAGCAGAAGAGACCTATACACTGGGGAGGTGGGGAGAATCTGCCATGTGGGCCTTGGCTCTACTTCCAGCTCTCACATGCACTCCCCAACAACCTCGAACAAGTCACCACCACCTGTGCCCCAGCAGACAACAACATCTGCATTACCTTGAAGAGGTTTATATTGTCGATCTGGCTCTGAAATAGAAAGTCATTGATGGATTTTAGCACTGTCCCTGAAAGAAAAGGGGGTAAAGGAGAAAAAACTTTATTACTGCTGGGCCTGCAGCCCCTTACTGCCCACACCCACAGACTGACAGCTGCACACACCAGGAGTTCACTCCAGTCTTACCTGTTTGGGAAACTGTCTGACAGCCAGGATTCTGATTCACATTACCTGTAAAACATGAAACCAATTCAAGGAAGGCTTTCAATGGGTCTGTCTCAAAATTAAGCAAGAAACTAACGACTGAGCTGATAGGTACACTGCATCATGACAAAACCCAAGAAATAACTACACCTCTGCAAAAATGTAGCTATGCAGACAAAACATCAGCTCCCACTCAGTTTTATTTTGCCCAGCAGTGTAGCCTTACACTGTAGGACAAGCGTGCTGCAGCATCCTAAGAAGTACCACCTACATTCCTTCTGTGGCAGGAAGCAGCAGGTAGGGTGGGTGCTCTGAAGTGCTCACACACTATGTAGTCATCATGCTGCAAAGGTAAAGGGACAGGGACTGCAGTGCATCCCTCCTCAATGTAGCAGCAGGGAGCTGGGAGGCACAGAGGCTGGCAGGTGATTGGGAAGAAGGGAAAACCTGAGGACACCTCCATGCCCAGACCCCAACAACCAGAACAGGATTAATTGCTGCCCCTCGCTGCGTTTTATGTCCTAGCATTTAACATCCACCTCACATCCCACTTTTGTAGCCACAGTCAAGAAGCTGCACACAGGCTGCGTTTTCTAATGAAAGCACTTCACTGAGTATGGGGAAGAGAAGAGTGGCAGGACAGAGCAGGAAGAGAAGTAACATCTGAGAGCACCACCAGTCCCCTGCCCCAAAGGGCTGCATTTCTCCAGGGCATAGAAGAAGGTCTTTATGAACTTAGGACAGGCTCTCCCCTCAAGACATGCTGAGGTCTAGCATGCAAATTATTAGAGAAAAAGAGCTCTGTGAATTCCTGTGGATCTAAAATCACAGCAAAATGGTAATTTTTTCACAAAGGAAAGGCACCACTCAAGAAAGATTCATTCAGCAGAGGCATGCTGACATGTGTAGAGGCCTTGCTACCAGATGACCGAGGAGATTTATGCCACACAGGTCTTGTGCTGCACTGTCATACATCTGCTGTATTGCTCACTTGGAATCTTACACCATCCCCACTCAAATCAGATCTGAAAACCACACAGAAAGAGAAGAAAACTGCCTCTACAACTTACAATGTCATCTGCTGATCTTCAGCTAATGAAACAAAGAGAAGGGGTCAAGTAGACACCAGTCAACTTCCCCACCTTACAAAACAGCCTAAGAAATAAAATTACTGGCTTCTGAACCTATACGTGAGCAACACTTCCCCACAGTCTCTGCTGAGTGGGAAAGGGAACAGTGTCCTGAAGAAGCACTAACTAGCTCAGAGTCTATCAGTATCTCTGGATGTAGAACAGGTTTCCTTACCTCCCAGCATGGCCACAAACCGCTCCAGTAAATACAGGATCTGCTTAATGTACATCAAGTTCTTTGCCTTCAAACGTTTCCTATGAAAAATGAGACACATATTAGGCCCCAAAACATCTTCAGGCACTAATACAAGCTGCAGAAACAAGTACCTGAACTCTTCTTCATTTTGGAGAGACAGGAACCAAGAATGATTTCTCCCAGGCTCACTCTCCCTATTTGTGACAGAGCATAGTCCTCTGGACATCCTGCCCAAGGTCACCTCAAAGCACTCACTCACATATCCCACACTGTTCCTACCACCACCCTTCTCCTCACACATTAGTTACAGTTTGTTATTACAGTGGCAGTGATGCCTCAAGTCCCTGTTGCAATAATGCTCCACAAACTCAAAGTTATTCAAAGCACTGAGCACAATATCCAACCACTGAAGGGATGACAAGATGCAGAGCCAAAACCCACATACAGCTTCCTCCTCCTCAGAGCTTACTGCCTCTACCATAATGCCAATCAGCACATGAAAGACTAAGGTCCAGGAGAGACATAAAAGACTGAATCTTTTAAAACTCTGCATCACAAAGTAGAAGTGACTAGGGGGAGATATTTGGAAAGGAACAGAGTATAAGGGAAAGCCATAATCCTCAGGGTATCCCCTTCTCACTGCTTAATACCAGCCCCAGGAGTCTGACTTAGACAGATTCTAGACAAAAATAATGAAGCAAGTGCCTTTTCATCTGCAGAACTATTAATGCAGTAACTTTCCATCAGGGAAAAGCAAGAAAGACTCTGCAGCCACGAGAAAAGCCACGGCATCCACACTGCCTGCCACTGCTGTGCAGTTTTGCCCCAAGATCCTCACCTGTATCGCTCCATGTACTGGGACAGCTGGGAGTGGGCACAGCAAAGCTGCACAAACAGAAAGAAGGAGCTGTTGTTACCAAGCAGTGAAGAAAGGGCAGTCTGCTGGACGCAGAGCTCCCTCTCCATTGACAGGCCAGGCCGTGACTCACCTGAGAGCCGCTGACCTCCGCACTGTGGATACAGGTGATGGTGTCTATGAGGTTGTGGGCCTCGTCAATGATTACGACCTGGTCCTTCAGCTTGATCCCAGCAGCGCTCCTGGTAGGCTCATGCAAGAGCATCTGGTAAGGCAGCACCACCAACTACAGGAGAAGCACACACTGCCCTGATTCCAGCTCTCATCCTTGCAAACTTACGGCACTCTCCAACCACTCATTAAAGGCCCATCTCAGAGGGCCTTGCAGAATTCAGCCAAGTGACTTATTATGGGAAAGGCAGGAAGAGAGACAGGAGCACACGCTTGAGAGGGCCACTGGGATGTAAGCTGAAGAGAAATAATTATGCTACAATTGCGTATCGGCTCAGGTTACCTTCCAAATCTCCTCTGAAGCACTGAAAGCACATCTTCTGAGAGAGAACCAAGCAAGGAAGAAGAGCTAAGAGCACACCCATGTGTCAGTATTGCCTCACAGTTACTGAACCTTTCAAATACTTCAGAATGCTGAGACATACTCACAGCCTCCTTATTAACTTCTGATGGGAATTCTCATTTTCCTTTGCTTTCTCAGCAAAACTACAGCTGACAGAAACACAGCCCGTTTACAGACTCCCACATTATTGAGCAACAGCACTGGAGGGAGCAGGCAACTGGTTTATTTTTAGAGCGCCTGGCATTAATTCTGCTAAAACTGTACACCTTACCTGAGCAGCAGGAATGGCATATCGACTCCCATAGTATGGACAGGCTTTGGTTTCCCTTCCCAAAGACACCAACTGCTCAATATCCTTCACTTCCACTAGAACTTCATCGCGGAGAAACTGCATTTGCTCATAGGAATAAAATGGGCACACGGCGCGGCTCACACGTCTCTTCTTCCCTTCATTCTCTTCATCACTCTTCTTTTCTAGCAGCAGAAATCACAAGAAAGCCATGAGCAACCCACAACAGCCTAAAGCAACCACTGTGCAGAACTTCACGGATTTCAAAGCAAGCTCTGTCATGTATTTTTGACCCATCACTGATTTAAAAATTTTTCAGCTTTAACATTTCCATCTCCACAGTGAACACTACTCTCGCCAGTTAGATTTAGCCACGTGACATTTTCCAACATTTCTAGTGTGGAGTTAACAAACACAAGTACCCTTCCGTACCAGAACTCCTGACCAACTTAACACACGGAGAAAATACATCCAGATCTCAGCATCCTAGATTTGAGATCAAGAAAAGTAAAAGTGCTGGGGATCTCTAGCTCTCTCCTCCAACCTGTCATGTCCAAGCTCCTAACACTCTCTTTCCAGAACTGATTGGCAGTGCCCACTGTCTCCAGGCTCTTAAAGCAGCTTTATCAGCAATTGCTTCCCCAGGCTGGAAGTCTTCCTACCATGTTTGTTCTTTTGCATCTCCATGCAGCGGTCATTGATGAGCTGGAGAGCACCCAAGCGTCGCACCTCCTCATTCACACACAGGTTCTGGGACGTGCAAAGAGAGGAAGAGGAAGGGGGTCAACTCTGAACTGAGAGCCCCATGCTCTCATTGCTTCTTTAAAGCAATCTTAGGCCAGATTCCAAAATAGAAAAGTCTACCAGTCAGACAGTGTGCACACTAACTGCTAAAAACATGCTCAAAACCCATAAAAACGTAGCAAGGAGAAAAAAATGAGGAAAGGTGCACTGAGAGGGCTCACTGCTACACAACAGCTTTTAGAAAATGCTGCCAGACGTACTAGTAAGAGGAGCACCTTCTCAGTGACTCAGACATCTGTAATATTCCACATCAGAAAAGGTAAAACAGACTCTTGCATTTACATCAAAGGGTAAGTGACCAAAAGAGAGTTCACAGAAGAATCTACATCACATAGATCTGTGCTGAGAACCATGACTTTAGTTTTCCAGTGGGAGACTCAGTCAACCCCCGAGGTGCCTTCTGTGGCACCAGATCCACATACCTCCTGACAAAGTCTCTCACACTAGGTTAACGTGCCCCCTGGGTCCCCGGAGAACAACACCACATACCTGCCTGGATCCCAGGGAAACCAGACGTGTGTCTTTGCCAAAAGGACTTTTCTGCACCTCGCGCACAAACTGAGAGAGCTGGGAGTGAGTGCGGCTGCAGTAGTAAATCTGCAGCAAGGGAGAGCAAAGGGAAGACAAGAAGAACATGGAAGCCAATCCCCTACCTACAACCAATCCTGCAAGGATGCAGCCAAGCATTCAACAAGGTTCACCTTGCTCAAGCCTTCAAAAACACAAGTTTGAGTGTCACAACTGTTGAGGCTAAAAGCCCCATCTTTGTTTTCTCCTATCATTTGTCTTTGTTTCCATTTAATTTTCCAACATCTCCATAAAATAAAGGACTCACCATTGGAGAGTAATAAAATGCTATTTATTGCAGTGTGCTTTTACAGCAAGCCACAGCAAAAATTAAGCAGTGCTAGCAGAGCAAGCTGCTTAGGCAGCCAGTGTAGTCCAGAAGGAGATGAGCACAGCAGAACTAGTTGTCACTATCAACAAACTTGGTAGTTCTTATGTTAGTTCCTAAATCTTTCTGTACCACATGACTGTTGGAAAGGTGCAAGGAAGCCATAATTCTGCTCACTCCTACACTATTTTATGAAATGACACTATTTACTTTCCTCATCTCACCTTAGTCACATGCTCCTCTTCCAAATCATCATCATCTTCTTCCAGCCTAAGAAAAGAGAAAGCTCAAACAGTTCCCTTTCAGCAGATCAGTGGCAGTAAGAATCAAATTATGCCCTACTACAAGAGAGAGGTCTCAAAAGAGAGAGCTGATTAAGTCATCTCAAAAAAAAGCCTCAGATCTTAACCCAGGTGGTAAAAGAAAAATCAGCTTTTTAAGAAAAGTGTAAGCGTGCACAATCAAGTCGAGCTTTGCTCTTTAAAAGGAAAATGTCTTTAGGGCTCTGCCTTTTGCAAATTCAAGAGTTTTTTTTCTTTTGATTCTGGGGCTTCTAAGCCCCAGGCATAAGCTAATCACTGCTATACCATTCTTTGGTGAGCTTATTTATCTATTTATTTGTGTAAAGCTTTCCCTGTAGAGGCAATTTACCACCCTCCAGCTATTGCACAAAGAAAAGCTTCAGGAAAGCCCTCGGCTGCCACAGAGTTCCTCAAAGGCAACAGCAGTTTAATGTTTGATAAACTGCATATAAATGAAGAAGTTAAGTATTTTTCACTTTTTAAGGCAGAAGGATCTGTCTGGATACTAATTAGTAAATTTGTATTTTAAACACATTTGACTTTTTGTGCTGAATTATGACTTCTGGCTTTTGCCATAAACCAAATGTATGAGAGAGAAAAGTGTGCATGAGATTTTTATGCCGAAGCTCCGTCTTTAGAAATGTGAACATCTCTCTCCCTTTAGAGTATCAAACGATGCCAGTGCTAATCTACAGGACTGACAGCTTCATCTGATGTCCTGAGTTCCATTCTGCTTTTCCAATGCAAGGAACTTAATCTCGAGTCATTCGCTCAGCATCCAGAG